GAGCTCAGGGATGGGATGGAAGAGAAGAGAAATAGAAAGAGGAAATAGGAGAGAAATAGGAAATAGGAGAGAAATAGGAAATAGGAGAGAAATAGGACGAGAAGAGAAATAGGAAATAGAGGAGAAGACTCGGGGCGCTTCCCTTCCCCCCGTACTCGCAGTGCTGCCCCGGAAACCAAAGGGGGTTCCGGCGCCCCTCACCAGACCCAAACCATTCCCGGTTGCTCAGGAAATCAGTGTTTTTCAGTGACCAGAGCCAGAAGAAGATCCCGGGCTCCATGGCCAGGCGGTTCCCGTGTGCCTGTCCCCTGGGAATTCCCAAGGCAAGAAAAGGAGGATGACTTTAGGGCGCTACTTTCAGGTTTTATTCTTAATTTTCCTTCACCGCTGTTACTTGTGAGGTGCTGCATTGGAGTTCGGGTGTGCAGAGTGTTGTGTGACAGAGTGGCTCTCGCACAGACGGCGGCGGCTCTTTCGGCAGAGTGGTGCTGGTTTGGGACAAACCGGGCGCAGGAAGGGCTGTGCATTCCTTGCCTTTGGTTCTGGGGAGGTGCTGTCAGGAATTTGGGATCGATATGAGGATGGAAGAGACCCTCTCGCCCCCTTCTGAGGGTGACCGTAGTGTAGAAGTTGGTGTTTGTGTCCAGGACCTGCGCACCATGACACGCGTAGAATTAACTGATTTAAACGTGCTATTATAGTTTTGATTTAATGAATACCCGCGATTCCTTAATGTGAGACATGTCATCCCGAAGGGAGGGAAAGGAGGAGCTGTGACTCTTCCCCACGGAGTACATCGCCGTTCTTTCCCACCTGTGTCCGTTTGGATCCATCACCCGTCGGATTCCAAAGGGGCTTTGCCCTTTCCTCACCCTGTGTGACGCGGGCGAAAGGAACAGGCGAAAACATTGTGCGTCGGACCCAAAAGCGATGGCATAACCCTGTGACGTTAATGCCGAGGGACGCGGAGGAAAGGCCATCCCCGGTCCCGCGCTGTCCCCTCTCCTCCAGCAGTGTCCCACCATCCCAGCTCCAGTTCAGCCCCGGCTGCGCTGGTCCGCAGCCCCCCGTGACCCCCCCGCCCCGGCTCGTCCATCCCCCGGCTTTGACGTTTGCCCGCTGGGCCGGGTTGAAAAAAAAAAAACAGTGGGCAAGAAAGAAAACGCAAATATCCCCTTTCCCCCCGTCGTTTTTTTTTATTTTTAATTTTCGGAAAATGTTCTCCAGCGTGACAACTTCCTGGAACAAAAAGCAAAAACTTCCTTTGTGCATTTTTAAAACTCAAAAAGGACTTAATTTATTTTGAATATAGATGGTCGGCACCTTCCTAAGGCACTGGTCAGAGCCGCTGGAATCTCCCTTAATTGCAATTCAACCGATGACGGGCTCCAACTGTCTCTGCAGAGACACCTCTCTCTCATAAAGAGTTAAAAAGAGAGTTTTCAAGAGTTAAAAACTGAATTTCGTCAGGGGAAAATCTCCCCGCCGGTCTCGAAGAATTGTTGAAGCGGTATTTTAAGCATCCCTCATCTGGTGACACGTGGGAGTCGCAGTTTCCCGTGAGGACAGTGACCGCGCGGGTACGGCCGTTCCGGGAGATGCTCCAGAGGGGGAAAAGCAGCGCAGTTTACAGTGGTTATTGCCATTCGCAGCCGTTGACCCCAACCGTGGGCACATGGAGCCGCGATCCAGAGGGCTTCTCAGCACTCTCCCGTGGGGCTTCGATGGATCTTAAGGGTGTTTTAAAGGCTTCTGCTTGGGAAAAGTTTTGTTTGGTTTTTTTTTTTTTTCAGTGTTTTTCATAACATTTAGCATTAAAATCAGTAATTACAGACCAAACACCACTGGCAAACCCCGATGCTCCCCTGGGGGTCCGCACGTGGCACCGGTGTCTCCTGGCCGTGTATATCCCGGGTGGATGGTCACCACGGACTCCCGTGGAGACCCCTTCTCCCACAGCCAAGCCCAGGAGGGGACGCGGAGCTGCTCCCCGGACCCTCACCCCCGTCCCAGGGAGTCTCTGCATCGCTGCGAACGCAACTCCTTCCCTTCCCGCCATCGCTCCGCAACCCGCACCCTCCCGTGGGAAAAGGAGCACCGCTGCCTCGAAACATCAAGGATTTAATTCAAACCGACTTTTTTTTTCCGCCCCCAGGATGGGAAACCTCACGCCTGGGATGGAAACGGCCCTTTGGTTTTGTCCTGATTTGAGGGCGAAACTTAAAAACTGAGGTTTTGCAGAGGGCAAAATTAAAAAATGAAAAAAAAAAGAGTAGACCCTCCCACGGGAATCAGAGCCAGAGAGAGACGTGTCACGTTAAAGGCTTTATTGCTACGTGCTCCCCAGTACAACAAACAGCATCAGTAGTGTACACGCGACAGAAAGAGAAATCAGCCTGGTCGGAAAGAAATCACAAAGGTCCACGGATTGTCTACACCCCCCGGTTTGTGCATGTGTAACAGAGAAAAGACGGAGAGAAAAGAGAGTGTGACTTTTGGGGAATTTTAAAGGAAACCCCCCCGCCCCCATTGAGGCTCAGGGGTTGTCTGCACCGTCTGTACGGATTTCTCGGCCCTCCCGAAGCCTCGCAGGACGGTCGCGGCGGTTCCGGAGAGGTGCGGAGTCGATGCGGCAGCGCGTTGGATGACACACAGCGCGATGGCGGCGGCGGCGGCGGGGGACCCCCTACTGCTCCCGACGGGATTATCCCACCCACGTTCTCATTTACTTTAAAAGTCTTCCCAACAACCACTTTCACCCTTATTTCTTCCTGCTGGTTCTGCGTCATCACTACGGATGTTTCTAGAATTTCACCTTTTTCTGAGGATTTGTCCTCATCTCCTTTAAGGGCCTTTTAGAGGGACGTATTCACTGTTCCGTTACACGGGTCGATCGTGAGGGCTTTTTATGGGGAAGCAAAAATTGCACGTGAGACTTCAATAACCTCTTTAGAAATTAAAGATGCCTGGAATAAAAACAATTGTAAGACTTTATTTCTTTTCTTTTTTTTTTTTTTTTTTTTAAGAATAAGAGCAACCCTTTCTCTACAGTAGTTTAGTTAGCTTAAACTTCTGTCCTATCCATATGACATGGCATGTACAGGTCTCTAATTACATCTCTCTATTTAACCGTGGCAAAAAGAAGAGTCAACTGCCCTCAGTGTAAATATTTAGTACATAAAATACTATCCAGAAATCCACTTTTAATAAATATCTTTAGTTCTCCATCCTATATACAAGTACTTTACAGCAACACGCAGGAGAGAGCGCGATGGGGCGGACTGTGAACAAGACGGTTCTGGACATCAGTTCCGAGTACATTATTGCAGTCAGACGCACTGTGGCTGTGGAGGTTTTGAGGTGAACCGCGCTGAAAACAATAAATATCTCTCTCACCTTTACACCGATGCTGCCAGGAGGGGAAAAAAAAAAAAAAAAAAAAAAAAATTAATCTCTTTTTAACCAACTGAA